GCAATAACACAATAATTATCTTTTTTATAATACATACGAATTTTCTACACAATAAAAATAAATATAACATATAATATAAATTACAAAAAAATATTGTAGTTCATAGCTACTTACGATGCTGTTTTACATAATAAATAGCAAATAAATAACATGATTTATGTCATACATTTATTTTTAAACTAGAACATATGTTATATGTTGAAAAAGTTATACTTCTGAAAATAATATATTTTATTTCTCAAAAAATACAACTTTTTAGAATAAAATATTTGAATTACTTAAAAGTGTTTAAGTTTTTAAAAATTAATATTTTATTCTTTAAGAAGTAATATTTTTAAAAAAATATATATATATATGTTGTTAGTATCATCATTTAATTAAAATAATATTTAAAATTCAATAAAATTAATAAATTAATTTCAATAATTTCAACTTCTATTTGATATAATATTTAAAATATATCATTGTCAGAAATATTACCTAACATTATCTGAATGATTCTTATTTTTACTTCTTATTTGTGCATAAACATTGCTACCTTTTTTGTATTCGCAAATTATTTTAATGTGTGTTCTTCTTTTACTTTGAAAGATTTTACTCCACATTACAAATATAATAGCTTGCAAATTATCCTGATGTGTGAAGAAATGCTTCAACTGATGTTGTTCATAACATCATTGATTCAAATATAAAAATGTAATATAAATAATATTTAAAAGATTATTAATATAATTATAAAAATGGCAATACTAAAAAATGATCGGATTATATTGTTTTTATATGTTTTCTAAAACAATATATAGACTTGATGGCAATCAAATAAAAATGTCTTTTGCTAAAAACGCCAAAACCTTTATGTACGATTATTATATAATTTAAATTAAATAATATTTATTATAATATTATTCCATAGTTTTGATGATTTTTTCAGGTGGTTCATTGGATGGACACACTTGTTTAACAGTCATATCAACTAAAGGAATATTATGGTCCTTACATTTTACATTTTTTAGATCTGTATAAGTATCTTGCATTTTCAACACTAATGCATATAAATATCTAGCATTGCAATCACATATAAATGGATTCCCGCTTAAAGTTAATTTTTTGTAAATATGATTAAGCAAAAATTCACTCACTCTGGGACTTATGCTTGATAGATGATTATTATGTAATTCTAATACCTAAAAATGTAGAAGAAGTTACAAGAGACAATTATGAAATAATTCAAATGAATGAAAAAAAAAAATAATAAATTAAATTATTTACATACTTCAATAGTTTTCGGTAATCTGTCCAACGATATTTCAGAAATCTTATTATTAGATAACAATAAATGTTTTAAATTAATTGATTCTAAATCATCGAATTGTGGTATTAATTTTAAATTATTCCCTGTGAGATTCAATGTTAATGGATAACTTCCCTCCAAATAAATATTATTCTTGTCGATTTTGAATACAGAAATCGAATTGTACGAGCAATCTAATACACGCATTCTATCATACGGTCGTATAGTACATGTACACATAGTTTGACACTTTTCTTCAATTTGAAAGAATTCATTCTCGGGACATTGGTAGGTTTTGAAATCCAACTGATTAATTTGTGGCCCTTGTATTCCATTGGGATTCACACACTTTAAGTTTCCCAATCTAAGTTGAATGAAATTATAAACAGTAATGGGCATATCACCGTTATAATAACGCACAAGGTCGTATAGTAGACAATTGCATAATATCGGATTGTATTCGACGAGAACATAAACATCACGTTTTTCAGTATTATATATTGCCAACATTTCGATATTAGTTAGTAAAATATTTTTTATGCTGTTATACCTTAAATCGACGAATAAATTGTCCGACGTAAAAACAAAGTTATTCGCCTATAAAAAAAAAAAAAAATATATCAATATAATATATATTCATTTGTAATCATTTCAATTATAATATTCAATGTATTGATGGATAGTTAAATTTGAGTATTTACCGATAGTACTTTTATGTTGTTGTAACGCAGATCTAAAAATACTAATTCTATTTTATTTACAGTCCAATCAGAATAAAAATGTTTTAGTAGATTACTACTTAAATACAATTCCTTAAGACCATGATTATTGTAAAAAGGTGAAAACTCTCCATTTTCAAATCCTAAGGTTAGCATATTACTTGAGAATCTAGCAGAGGATAGTTGTTCATTGGTTGAAAATGCTTCTCTATGAATATATGTCAAGCCATTTCCTTCCATGTTAAGTTCTCTTAATGATTTCAAACCATGAAATAACATTCTAAAAAATAAAATTTATATTTGACGAACAACACTTGGTGTACAACTTTGCTTCCAAAATTTGTAGAAAAAATGGTGGATGCTCAGTTGTACAACTATTAGATTGAATATTAATGTTGTATAAATTTTAGAATAATTTACCTCTGAACACGAACAATACGATTATAAGACAAGTCGAGTACTTTTAAAGATTTTAAATTTGTAAAAATTGCATCAGGAAGCATTTCAATTAGATTGTTACTTAACCAGATTTCTTCAATATGTACTAGGTCAAAGAAGATTAATTTGGGAAGTTCTTTTAAAGAATTCCAGGTTAAATCGATGAATTTTAAAGATGTTGAACCCCAGAAAAGCTTTTCTGGTAGACTACTAAATCCATTATTTCTCAATTCAATTTCTTCAAGATTTTCTAAATCGGTTAAAAAATCAACCGGCAATGTTGTTGGTAATTCTTTATTATTATCATATGATACTTTTTTCAATTTTTGATTTTTTTTAAACAATCTTAATGGAAGACTAATGAATTTATTAGTTGACAAATTAATTGTTTCTAATTCCTTTAAATTGTAAAAAATTGTTGGCTGTAAATCTAGCAAATAATTATTTGATAGGTCTAAATCTTTTAATGAAGTTAATTTTTCAAATAATTTCTCATGAAGTTTTGTCAATAAATTTCCTCTAAGATTTAGAGTTCTTAAATTCTGTAGATCATGAAATATATCAAAGGGAAGTTCTTTTATTAAATTTCGTTGTAAATCAAGTTTCTCAAGATTCAAAGTTTCATTAAAAGTATTATTGCTTAAAACAAGATAATTTTCAGGCAATTCAAGGGATCTCAAATTAGGAAAATTTCTAAAGAAATCATATGATATATTAGTGTAAGTGTAAAAGCATAAAACTAATTCGGTCACACTTGGAAATCCTTGAAAATGTTCCTTTGTTAGACTTTTCCTAATCTTTATATGAGATCGAAAGCTTAGTCTATTTATTTCAATTATTCCTAATTTTGTT